AAGAGTCTGTATATGTATTTAATCGCACAAACAACCAGGTGAATTTCGAAGCGTCTGTTATAGCGGCCACCAGTCACTTCTTAACCGCCCGCGTGTTATTGTAGGATGTCGTTACCTCCGGGATGAGCCACAATTTGTCAGGCTTATGTTAGGGAATTTAGAACGTTGTTTAAGTGGTTTACCGAGCCATTGAGGCGTGGTGGGGGTCGACCATTACCTGGGTGGTGAATGACGGGGTTCACGAGCTGGAAGAGACCTAAGCTGATCCCGTGTATAGGGCGACACGTTCACGGCGGCGGTGTGTTGTGAGGGCTTCTTCCACCAGGGACGAGTTTTACCTGTCACTAGCTACCTGAGAGGTCACTAACGAGGAAAGGTGTATTGTAATTGATGATGATATTTTTATTATTGTTTTTGTTTATTATTATTATTATTATTATTATTATTATTATTATTACCGGGTATTATTATTAACGTTGTAGTAGTAGTATTTGATAGGGTAAAACAAAGTAAAACCACAAAAGTCTTGGAAAAAAAACCAACCAGAGATGTTCAAATTCTTAAATATCTCGAAAGGCATCTGGAAGCTGTAGTGTTAACGAATTTACGAGTTACTTAAGGCAATAGAGGGCGTTTGTGACAAGCCTGGGTACTTGTTTAATGCTGTGTGATGTTTTAGAATATTTTATGTGTGAAGATGTTAGTTATGAAGGAACAAAATTTAATGATAAAGTAAGAACAATTATAGTGGGAAGGTAGATGCTGCTGCTGCTCTTATTACCGATAGTAAGGAGGCGTCACAAAAACTGGTCGGCAAACTAGTGGAAAAAGGAGAAGATTGCTTGGTATGAGTTAACGCTGTAAAGACGGAAGTAATTGTGGCTTCCAGAATTGAAAGTAAATTCTGAAATTCAAGTTTTAGCTGACAACAAGGGCCTGGGGGGGGGGAGATGATGACCATTTATGTATATAGGAAAGTAACTTAAGAGTTGAAGTGATAGTTGAGAGAGAAATCAATACACAAATAAACTGAAAAAATACAGTACAGGAATTGATAATCTTAGTTTGGGTAAGAGATTGATATCGGTATTGTTGTAGGGGTCAGCAGCTTTGAGACTTACAGCAGATGCCAGGAGGAGGTTAAGAGGCCTTTGGGATGTGGTGCACAGGAAAATGATAACGATGTATTAGACTAGGATATATTATTATATATTATTTACATGTATCGCTCGTGTTTTGAGTGGTGGGGACACACAGGTACAGGTAGCGGACTTTAGGAGATGTTTTAATTTGTTTATTAATATTAGGAATAAATATGCATCTAATAAATTATAATGTGGAAAATAGTAAGATTAGATTTAGCATTAGATAAATTCTTGTCAGTATGTAGAATAAACTGTTTTTTTTAATCTTTTTGTCTTTGGTTACAATATAAAAGTTTAACTGTTTCCTATGAATTTATTGATCTATTAACGAATTTCTATGTTCTGTGTGAATTAAACTGTCAAGACACGAACACTTTATTTTATTATTATTTAATTTGATGTACAGTGTTGTGATGGTAACCCAATTTTATTTTCACGAACTTATATACTGAGTGATTGTTACGTGTGTGTGTGTGTGTGTGTGTGTGTGTGTGTGTGTGTGTGTGTGTGTGTGTGTGTGTGCGCGCGCTTCATCAGGATACATGAAGGAGTTGTGGAAGATACTAACACGGAAAAATAGACAGTGACGTTACTTTCAACTCTTGGAAGACAAACGAACATCTGACTACATAAACACGTAATTACACTACAACTGTTTAACTATACCTCCCCCCCCCCTCCCGCTACACACCTCACACACCAGGATGACGATGGCTTAAGAAAACTGTACTATGTCTTATGTCTTATATTGTTTTTAATCTACTACATAGTGGAAAGTGTTCGGATATTTTTAATCATGTCATTACGTTGTGGAGAGTATTCTTTTAGAGTGTTCGGATATTGTTTTTAATCATGTCTTAATGTTGGACAGGTGTAAGACTTAAGGCAGAACGTAAAAATGTCACTGGTCGCTACACACGGTTGGATAACATCGGTAAAAACCTAAGTCAAGGATGTAAAAAATAACGATCCGTGATATGTTGACGAGCTATGATGCAAAGTTAAACTACTGCTCTTTTAGATCAGTAAATGTTATTGTTGACAGTGATGAAAAACGGCGTCAGTGTGTATGTTTTCAGATACATTATAATTATACCCTGAGGTCCTCTCCTACGCCTCACCTTTCTCTCTCTCTCTGGACCCACAAAACCTGGGCTAAAGATTCACAAATATTCAATAAACTTAATTTTCCTCTTAGATGTAAGTTATAAGAGTGTAATGATCTGGTCGTAGGTGTTAAAGTGTGTCTTATAACCAGGTGTGTAGATGCCACCTGTCGTTCACTTACATTGTTAATTCCCATACTTCAGAAACATACAAGTTGGTTGATAGTAATTTACGGATACCGAGAGTTGGTTGACAGTGTAGTTGTCGTCAGGGGATACTATTTAATTCACGAAAAATATTTATTGTTTATGGTTGGTGGTGTTTGTGTGTGGTGAGCGAAATTTTATGGCGTCTCAGATTTACTCGTGGAATGAAAGGTAATATTGATCTAAAATATACTGTTAACGCTTTTTTAATTTACGCTCGCTTAAGATCTAACCTTAAGGTGTGCGTTTTGTACAGGTGAGAGTGACACCCTCGGCACACATACACGCCCACACATACACATATGCTAGGCAGCTTCTCTAACCTCATAAGTACACAACCCTCCTGACTTCATAAGTACAAAGCCCTTGACCTCACACATACCCTCCACACCTCATACGCACACGGCCCCTCCTTCCCCGCAGATAACCCACCAAACGTGTCGTCAGCTTACCTTTGCTTCTTAAGGTACATTCCTCACCAGCTGTAGGACGGGTAGGTGTTAGGCCTGTGGTAGGTCCTGCCTTAAGATCCAGGTAGGAGAGAGAAGTCTAGGCGGCCGTCGTACCATTCCCCTTCCCATAACTATCAGATCATGTCTTTCAGGTGAGTTGTTTAGTATTTACCTGGGTGTCTCCCCCACAGGTAGGCGGACACGGTCGTGTGTGCGTGTGTGGTGGTCAGTTTTGGCCTTTCTTGGGAGGGTGACGAGTGTGCGTGCAGTTCACAGATGCGGCATTTTGTGTGTTGAGTCCTGGCATGACACTGTGCTGTCCGGGTTAAGCGACTGGCTAGTGAACCACTGACCAAGAACCTCGGAACTGAATGCAGCTTTTGACACTGATGATGAATACTAGTGAGGGGGAGACTAGTGTGTGTGTGGCTGTGAGGCGCCATAGTGATACGTGTTGTGGTGATGTTGACGCGCCTCGGCAAGTAGACGCCATATCATGACTGAAGATGCCAGCCAAAATGACACGGTAAGAGACTGAAGTGTGGCATCTGTCTGCGGTGTGATCCAGTGTCGACGTCCTCCATCATGTACCGCCAGGGTCAAGTTGACAGTTGATTTACCCTCGATATATCTCTCTAACTTGCTGACGTAAACAAGTAGAATTATCACAGGATGTTCTGATGAGTCTTGGTAAGGCAGTTCTTTAATCATCGTCAGTTTATAATGCAGGTACTGTCAGTGCTGGGTATGGTGGTTGAATGCTTTGATGATAGGCACGGGACAGCTGGCCAAGGGAGAGAAAAGGAACAAATGTATCTGAAACGTTTAGTAATTATAAGCTTAAATGATCAGAGTTCCCCTAACCATCACGTTATTAACCTCGATCGTGAGTGGCGAGGTACTTGAGTCCGTCTACACCTTCCTCACCTGACCCCTAGTACAGCCTCACTTGTTGGCCTGGTTCACATAGACTCGCACCACTAGTAGTTGTTCATCAGATCACGTGTTGTGTGTCCTGGTGTTTATCTCCCGTCACATTTTTTTTACGTAAGTGAAATCTGAAACTTGTTTGTTTTTAAGTTCTTGTTATGTTAGTGTAAAGTGACTCGTGTGTGTCAGGCGGAGATGTGTACGTTCTCGAATACAAGTTGCCTCTGTGTGTGTGTGTCAGTCAAGAACGAAGAGTGATGGCAAGTATTGCTGTTGTGTGCTTATGTTTCAAGGAAATAGCAGTAAAATATCTTGAAGTGCATTTTCCTGTGATTTGTGGTAGAGTGTTGGTGGGCGAGGAGTGTGAGCGGCAGCTATGTGAAACTCACACCTCACACCACACCACAAACACCACATTTATCGTCACTCAGTCATGTCTCACGTGTATACCTTGCTTGCTCGGTTATTACTGCGTATTTCTCCGCCTCGTGTACACTGTGTTGGTCTGTGAGTTGTATTAATGTGTGAACAGATTGGGAACTACGCGCCCTTGATGTGGACTATGAAGGTGTTGACAAGCCGTAGGTAGTGAAGATTTGGGTTATTTTCCCCTAAGCCTGTAGGCACCAGTCATATTTGGAATTGTAATATTTAAGTGTATGGTGGTGATGTAATGTACTCAGGGCCACCACAATTTAGAATTACAAGTTGTTGGTATGTGATTGACGCTCTCGTAGGGTCGTTTCCAAGGAGGACAGGAGGAGGGTCTTCTTCCCCTGTGAAGTGTAAAGGCTCACAAGTAACATTATACTGATTCCTGTTTCTCCAGATCTTGTTGTTGAGCATTATAAAAAACAAAATCAGGTTTATATATATATGTGTGACTAAGGACATTTGTTGTAAGTCTTCTTATACTTGACATATACTAAATTTATTATGAGATGTGACTCGATGGCTTGCCACGCTACATTGTCTTGGCGACCATTGTGTGCGTGTACAGGTGTCGTAGTAGACTGGTGTGACTTAACGGGGACATGTGTTACAGGTGTTCAGCAGCAGGTGTTCCCATTGATCATGAGGATCCTGTGTGCCATTAACTACATAGGGCAGGATGTGACAAATGTGTAGCAGGATATAAAGCAGGTTTTCTCGTGTTACAGGTCAGATGAGGAGGAGAGCTCAGGGTCCAAGTATGGCCGAATGGAGTCGGCTGATGACAACATGCAGGACAAGGAGCGATTTGCCAGGTAAGAGGAGTCTACCGTTCTCTCATTATGAATCACAACAGATGATGGCTACTGTAGCAAAGCTCTCTCACCGGAATAGTTTAATGTGTGGCTAAGTTACCTCTTAAAGCACTCCATCCACCCCCCCCCTTTATCCCCACCACCACCCCTCACCTTACCCTCCACCACCACACGCACCAACACTGGCCACCCACCACCCACACACACTCACACTCGTAGCAGCCTTCGCTCAACACTCACGCACTCACAAGTGGAACACGCAGCATGACCCTCTAGCTTGGTCTTAAAGGACAGCTGGGCTTGGGATGTGTGCCTTATATATTAATTGTGTAAATAACCTGTTACCCTCAAGTGTGTGTGTGTGTGTGTGTCTTGAGCTAGCTACACCCTCCCCAGGTGGTGTCATCTACGCTACACTCGGGGACAGTTAACATTCCTCCGTGTTTTATTTTGTTTACACCTGTACTTTAGCTGCTACCTACCAGCTGATGCACCCCGCGGCTGCACGTCAACAACACTGTCTCTGAGGACACCAGGGAGACACACTACTGCACCCACACACACACACCCGGACAGACACACACACACACACACACACACACACACAGCTCTGGTTTACAGCCTTTTCCCTCTTTCATTTTGAATTAATTTTTCAGTAGCATGCGCCTGTTCTTATTTGATATGATTACTAATAATTAAAATCTGTTTTTCCTGATTTTTAAAAAAATATATATATTTTTTCGCTTGTCTGGTTTCTGCTTTCAGGTTAATATTCTTTGTTTTTATCCACGGAACATTTAATTTATCCGTATGTTAGGTGATTTATTTTCTGGCCAGTGTGTTTTATTTTGGGTGTGTGTGGTTGAGTGTTGTGGTGCAGGACGTGGCGTGAGTATCGTGGCTGCTGCTACGCTTCGTCAGGAGTGGCGGGCCAGGCTGTCACTTCGGGAGTCAGGGGGAATGGTCAGAGGAAAATTAGGGAGGGAATCAAGTCCTTCAAATGAGGGGAGGGGGGGGGCGGAGTCCCTCACACTAGGGGAAAACCAGAAAAATAACCCCTTTAGTGGAGGGGAGTCCAGGGAATTTACTGGTAAGTCTTGATATTTGTTTCTTGTACAAAGTGTGGAAGATGAGAGACCCGCACGACGGAGAACTAGACCATCTTCCTCGTGTGTCGTGGAGTGTTCCTGGTGGTGGCGGGTCAACAGCAGGAGTCGTCGTCGTGTGGAGGGGGGGGGGGTGGTTAACAGCTAATTTTAACATCATTATGGGTTCATGTTAACATTGTACGAGCTGGTCGACGACTTCGGAAGTGTTGAGGACAGGACGTGTGAGAGTAACGTAGTAGCGAGGCGCAGAGATATTGTACCGGGACTGAGACGAGGGTGAACTAAATTTATACTTGGCGCTGAGCTGCTGTGCTGTGGGGGGGATGATGTGTATGTTGTTGTATAATGAAGATCTGGTGGTTATCTTGTAAACTACACTACAGCATCCCTGGCTCATCCACCACCTTAATTCTAAATCTTCCCTCCCCCTCCCTCAGAACCCACCACACTCAACACACCCAGATACCTATTACACCCATCCCATCTCAGCCATAACCTCCTGCGTCTTAACCTTGGCGACACATGTCTCCCTCCATAAACTTAAACACTCCCCACAACCCTCGTCCTCTTCCTACAACTTTTCTTCTTCCTACTCCTCCTCTTTTTTCTTTACCTCTTCACCCATCTCCCTCCCCCCCCCTCCTATCCTCTTCCACCCACCCCAGCACCATCGCCGTTCTCGTTGTCGTTCTCAGGCCAACTCGCTGTCCAGCCTCGGCAACAACCACCCTTCATTACCCGCGTTGTCTTCAATATTGTCTACTGGTCCCCTGGGTCTCTCTGCCCGGGAACATGTCTCTTGTCAGTCACGGATACAATTCCAATCGACGTGGGACGTATTTTACTTCACAATTGGCCGTAGGGGGAAGGATTAAGTAGGTGGTTGGGTGATTATGATAGAATCAGTGGACATGTTAGCGGTAGACAGCGTGTAATTTGGAAGCGAGGAAGCTGTGCGGGTGACCAGAGGGAGTAAATTAGCGCAGCAGAGGGAGAGAGCTTGTGTTTACGGTTGACAGGGAGGTGATTGGTGATGGTGGTATTCGGCGCACAGTTGGCCGAATGCCTGCCAAAAATTGACAGGGAATTGACACCAAAAGTCGGCAATCATGCAGCTGTCTACAGCATTTGGGATAGTGTGTGTGTGTGTGTGTGTGTGTGTGTGTGTGTGTGTGTGTGTGTGACAACTTGTAAGAGGACTTAACACCTGACTGTCACTGAGGTACATTATGACTAGTGGTGCACCTCTCACCTGGGTAGGACGCAGGTAACATCATTACTCACCAGGTAGTGGATTACATTACCAGGAGCGAGCGTGGTTAATGGCGGGTCTACACTACACCATCTCATCCAGACCTAAGCACCGAGGTAACACAGGGGAGTGGTGTTAACGGAGGTAGAGCGGTTAAGTCAGTAGTGGTAATAACTGCAAGAGGGTGTTAGGTGGTGGTGGTGGTCATACACGCGTCAGTACAATATCCAATAATGACTTAACTTCTCCCCCCAAAACGTCAAATATTACAGCAGGAAGACCCGAGTGCTCTGGATCACTCCTGCCTGGCGTTAAATGGGATGACGTGCAGACTAAACAGATGTTGCTTCTTAATTCAATGCGATAAGATGAATTGACTGCGCTTGAATATTATTACTTGTATCTTTTAAATGGAAGGAATATTAACTCGTAGTTGGAAGGTGTGTCGACTATTGTGAGTGGTTGTAATTTCCTGCGGTGTAAGTTAGGGAGGGGGGTGAGGGTGAAGGAGGGACGTGTGGAGGGGGTGAGGGAGGAACGTGTAGTGGTAGTCAGGGGGAAGGGTGTACATATAAGGGGTGACCAGGGGGGTGTACAGGTAAAGGGTAGCCAGGGGGTGTTGTATACCTGTATAATCGTACACTGAGGACAGGTAGGTGGGTGGCGGGGTATGACAGGTGATGACTATCGCGAGCGTAATTATCGGGGCTGGTGACAGATAATCAGACGAGATAATTGGCGGTTTTTTTATTTCTTTTGTTTTCTCTCCACTAAAAAGTTGATCTGTGTGAATAATAAAAACCACTTGAAGTTGTAACGAGTGTTTTTAATTGGGAAGATGATGTCCCTGACCATTCAGTCTTCTGTGTTTTAGGAAGGTTTCATCAGGTTCACTGTATTACTCGGTTTATGATTGGTTGTTGTGGGGGTAGCCTTCAGATATCAGCCAATCAGATTACGTCGTGGTGGCAGCAGGAGACAGACGAAGCTCCTCGTGTTATAAGGAAGGTTCTTGTTATAACTCGTTTTAAAACTTCATGTTAACTGAAAACAAAATGTGTATTTATGCCTATTATGAGTGTAGTTATTGTAGATTTATGCCACAGCAGTAACACAAGAATATGTTTGTTTTTTATCAAGTGTGTGTGTGTGATGGTAGTTTAAGCTGTGGCTAATTGAGTTTTTTTGTGGTGGTAGTAGTATGTACACCTGTAGGAGTCATTAATTAGGATGTAGGTGTTGTGTTGACTGGTGCACCGCCTCTGGTTGTAAGGGAAGTATACTGTATATAGTCGTGATACGCCAAGTACTCTGGTGGTGATCAAATTGTGGTGGCACGAGCAGGTAAGTTTATTCAGGTAAGACTTCTTCATAATAGATGTTGGGCATGATGCTGAGTGTGAGGTGGTGACAGAGATGTGTTGATGAAGGGATCCCAAGACGGTGGCAAGGTGAGGTGTGTGTGTGTGTGTGTGTGTGTGTACAGTAGATCATGTATTTAGAATAATATAGGGTGAATTTACGTTCCATCTTCGGGGTAATGAACGGGACAACTCAGTCAAAGGAGTGGTGTGTGGGTGTGTGTGTAGGAGAGTAACTACTGGCCGGCGCTGGACCCATTTTACTGCTGGATTTTATTTTCAGGTCAAAATCATGCTATTTTTGAGGACCTGCATATTATCCGCACATTATATTAACGAGTAGCAAAGAACAGTTTGGGTGAGCCAGCCACTATTCCAGAGCAGGTCTCTCCATAAACATATATATTAGGAGTGTTGTGTGTTGTACAGAGCTTTCTGCTGCACTCTCTTGCACCTACAGAAAATTTCACTCAGCGGTCCCCCCTCTCTCCCTCTTTCTTCACCTCCCTTCCCTTTCCTGTTTTCACTTTGGACTCTCATGCCTAGATACTGAGTGAGGGGGAGGGGGGGGGACCATACTCTCCCTAGGTGTCACCGAATGACCCTCTCCCCCACCATCACCTGCATCGTTCAGTTTTTGTACAATGCACGATGGTAAAGTTTGCTGGAACTTGAGTGTGAGTGATCGGATGTCTGGAGGGTAGGAAGTAGTGACGGAGGAAGCCAGGCCAACAAGGAACCAGGCATCTGGTTGACCAAAGTGGTGGGAGGTACTGGTGCTGAGGGTTAATGACTTCATTAAGATGACGCAGCCGGAACGGTGAAGGCGAGGAGGAGGAAGAAGAAGAAGTTTGTGTAGCGAGCGAGGGTCCCCGGCACGGTGGGCGAGAGAGAATGCGGCCACCATCACGTACTGGATGATGGAGGCTCCAGGGGCAGCGCGGCTAATTAAACTATGGCGAGACCACTGGAAACAATCGGCCAGGGCGTCGCTCACTGGCAAATTGGCCGTGTTCGTGCGCTGCCTTAGTCCGCCGTCACGAGCGTCTTTTGGGAGGCAGGAGGCGTTAAACCCGCCTTGGTGTGTGCCAACTCACGGGTATTATGCGCTATGTAAACACTAGCACAAACCACCTCCTACCTGCCTCCTGGCCCACCTCCCTCTCCACCTCCTCCTGGTCCACCTCCTCCTCTTCCACTCTCCCCTCGCATTCTTTATCGTCGGGGCTGCTGCTTCCGCTCCAAGACTTCGCCCTCTTCACTCGTCCTTAACTAGCA